AAGACTATGATTTTCTCAGAGCCATAACCTGTTTTCTGTAATTGCTCAAAGAAAAAAAAAAAGTATTGTGTCCTTATTCTTAGCCATGACTAAACTACAGAAGGCTCTCATAATCACAGCTGTTAAATGTGGACAATATCTTGAAGTTTCCAGCTTATCTCTTGTTGTTTCGCCATAGTTAATTTTAAGTGTAACAGTCAAAGAGGCTTCTAACATTCTCATTTGGGAAACTATTCTACACATTCATATCCTTGACTTTTAGGAATATCATCTTGATAATCAGCCAGCACGTTGCCTCTCGTAAATTTCTTCCAGTACTCCCACATGCATTTTCAACATTACACCTACTTAGATTTTTTTAGGCATTTCTGGCAGAGTTCATCCTATTGATGCCAACAAAAGCTAGTAAAAAATGCAGCTCTAAATTCGCTGGACTGCTTGCAAAACATCTATTGAGAATTTTAACCTGACTTGGCCTCTTTTGTGTGGCTCAGATAAAGCATAAAATATTATTCTGTTCTGCGCTTCCCTATCTATAAAAATGATGGTAGTACTTATGCTTCAATAAATATGCTCTGTGATAGGTAGGATTATTACCAACTAAATAAATGACATAATACATTTCTTCAATTTCACTTGAGCCTCCGCTTTTACTTTGTGAATTTTCGCTGCATGCTGCCTATACCAATTTTGCATCTCAAATTTCTCTGAAAGGCTGGTTCACATCTGTGTTCACTGAAATTCTCTTATAGACCAAACAATTATCTGATAATATTTTACATATTCAGATAATGATAAAAAGACTGTGATATTAAAAAAGAAAAAAAGTGTGACACCCCAAAAATCACTGGGTAGGAGAAAATGTTGCTCATTATTCCATTAGGCTGTAGGAACTTTATTATCCCATATTGGCAACCTTCAGTGTGATAGAGCAGAAGTCAGTGTTTTGTTTTTGTTTTTGCTTTTTACTAAAATCCTTGTTGTTTTACTCCGTAAAACAGATAAGAACTTAACAGTTTATGTTCAGACAGTTTAACTGGCTCAATTGCTGGGCAAGAGAAGTAGCAAGAGCAGCCTGGAGTTCATCTGACCCTTTTCTATCAGATTGAGGTATTATTATGTACCGTACTATATTAAGCTTCATCTGGAAAAAAGCTCAGTCTGTTCTTTTTAAGCTTCTTAATAGTTTCTAGTACTGATTCATTGGAAGTGGAGCTAACAGATTGTTATAGTTAGACTGTAGGTGGGGATACATATGCTTTAGTTTAGAACAAAATTCCAATCCGAAGCAAGGATAAATCTTTTGGATGATGATGCAATCAATGTTTTTTTTTGAACATGCAGAGACATATGGGAGCAGCATTTGAACTGGGCTTAGGGCCAGACTTGCAGGTAGGCAACACCCAGGATTAGGGCTGGCATTTTGAAAGAACCCAGCTCCCAGTTGTTGCTGTAAGTACAGGATATATTTCTAAAATACATCAGTTAGCAGCTCTGATTATGCCCTAACAGACAAACTTTCAAGAGCTGACCATTGTCCTGTGCTACCTCCTCCAGCAGAACCAGTCACGATATAGAGGTGCTGGTTTCCAAACCCTGTCATGGAGGAGTCTGGTGAGGGGTGAGGAGCTGAATATAAATGGACTACATTTCATTTCAGTTTTACTTTGCTTTGTTTTGTGAGGCTTTCATGCTGAATTAGAATAAGCCAACTAAAAGTAAATTAATGCTTCCTTTTTGTTTAATTTTTCTTTAGGATCTTTTATTAAATTTAGAAGTGGACACCAAATAGCTACATGGGTAGATTCCCAGAAAGTAGGCAGCTTTGTCCCGTAGGACTGGCAGACCAAGTCGCTTTGGTTCCAGTCCAGGGCTTCTGAAGAGAATTTTCATTTAAAGTGAAACTAAAAATTCCTCTTCTTAGACTCAGTGTTGGGCTCTGTGCTCTTCTCCTTTTGTCATAGACCTGGCTGAAAACGGGGAATTGGCCTGTGAGTAAAATCTATCCTTGCTCTAGCTGTGGCAGTTTTGGTACTGCTACTACTGAAAAGTCACAGCTCAAAAATCAAATATCCATGAGGAACCTAGTGCCATACAGAAAGCATGGAGATGCTCTCCCACTGTGAACCTCTCATCCATCCTCAAGGAAATGGCAAAGCAATGTGGTGTAATGCAATTTCTCCAGCTTCCTACAGCCGTTCCTTATTAATGCTGTACCTGTACCTTCACGCACACACAGGTTTTCCACAGGAAGTTAGCTCAGAGTAACGTATAAGGGAATTTAACAGAAAAGAACTCTTTTTCTGTCAAGGAGTGTTCATTATTCCCACAGTACAGCTCGGATTAAATATACATACCTCACTGAACCTCCTGCACAACCAGGGAATTCACTATGAATAATTAATTAAGTAGAGTTTAATCAGTAGTGATCATGACAAGAGCTCCACTGGTGTATTTGTATGAGCATCTTGAAGCAAAGCTGCTTTCTGCTTTCATCAAGACTCCCTTGAGCTCATGCCGTGCAGCTACAGTTTTCCCCATCGGAGAACTCAGTCACTTTCAGATTTATAAGGTCAGGATGTTTTTCTTCCAAATGCTAAAAGCATAGCACTTTGTTAAGTGTCCTTGATATTTTAGCATGTTTCCTCTCGTTTTAGATAAGGCTTTGCTTTCTGTGTGGTTTCACAAAATCTCTCTTCCTTGTAAAATGATGAGAACATGTTATTTATACCAGAGTAACATTTATTTGACTGTAAAAGAGTTAATGCACTTCATGTTCCTTGCAAAAACTACTAGTTTTTCAGTATTGTAATTAAACCTACTCTCAGTTTTATAGCAGATCTCAAGGTAACAGTTTGTACATTCATAACACTTTCAAACAAAGGTTTCAGTGTTTGAAACACTGAAGAGCTCTAGTTCTGGAAGTTAATTAGACCTGACCGGGAATTTTCCATTGGCATTTCTTCATAGAAAATGAAGGCTTCAGAATTTGAATTTCTTTGTGATATACCATGGAACATTTTTACTTCAAACTTCTGCAAAATGTTCCATGGCAAAGTTTGATATGTCGGTTTTCTATTTTTATTTTTTCACTTTCTGTTAGGAAAAGCAAAACAAAACATTTAATGTTGGTCAAGATTGACCTAAATGAGAATGCTTTTAAACAAAACAGTGAATTTCCTGTCAAATAGCTTAATTTTAATTTAGATGGCCTCAGGACCTCATATAAGTGACTGACTACCATTTTTCCTTCATTCTAAGTTCTGAGTTCTCTACTACATCTTTACCCTCTAGTTGAACTGCTTCAATGTCTTGTGGGAATCACTTGATGCTGATGTATCACGGGAAACTTAGTTTGCCCTCAGACCACGACACATGACACTGGGAACCTGATTTACAGCTCCCAGGAAGCACTGCAACAATTGAGTTTAAAAATCCTATGACATTTTGTCCAGGCACGATTTACATAGTAGTGGATTTTCCATCAGGTCTAATCACAGCAGAAAGGAAAATGAAAGTTGGTGCCTTTAGCTAAGGGGAGCAGCATTCAGACTGTTGTTCTGGTTGGGTACTATTTGGAAATCTCATAAGGTCTCAGTGATTCATTCCTGATTTGAAATGAAGATAATGGTATTTCCTTTCTTATAATCTTTATCTCTTTTGACTATTCACGTGGTAGGATCTTCAAACTGGAGACAGTGTCTATTATAGTCATATGCAGTGCTGAGTCTGCATATAATTCAGTCTCTAAACACTTGCACCAGAGTAATATGGACGATTTCATAGATGGGCACACTGAATGCATGGTGGATCCAATGTCCAAGGTCACAAAAACAGATGAAGACAAAGACAGTCAGCTCTTCAGTTCTCACTGCTTCACATGCGTTTGAACTGTCAGTGCTTTTATATTTTTTGTGCTGGTAGGCAAATAAAGTTTTTCCTTACACAGTTTCTTTTGCTTTCAAATTAATAGGAATAATCAAAGAATAGCAGTTCCTTGCAACGGTATTACCCTAACACTCTCAGTCTTAGTAATTTGTGTTTTGGTGGAATACTGTTTAGAGGTTAAGACAGTATTTTGGAGAAGAAAGAGTCTCTACCTTAAAGGCCTTCTGGTTAAACAAGACAAGAAACAAATTTAGAAAGCCAGATGGAGGAACACAGGGAAGCAAAAGGACAGTCTTGGTCAGTATGATTGTCAGTGGTATCAGTATACCCACTGTTTAAGCACTGTGATTTTTCTGTAGGCCTGTCAGGGAGGAAATTTTCTATGGTGATATAGAATAAAGAACAATATCTATTGGTATTAATTGCCAGCTTTTCTGGAAAGAAAATATGAAGATTCTCTCATTGGGTTGATTGACATTTAATTAAAAAACAAAACCAAAAACAAATAGAAGTACATGTAGGTCATCTGTGATCTTGTGATCTCTGTAATGATAATCTTTATTTTTCCCACACATTCTCCTGAGTTGTTAGAAGAAGTTACATCACAGGATAGCTTTTACCTTTCAGTGTATTATTGGTGTTCAGATTGCATTATGAACAAAGTCATGTGGCTCTTACTCATTGCTTTGTTTTATTTATATTCAAACTGCTATACCTAAAAATACACTCTGAACATTTATTTTTAGATTTTTTGAAGCAAATCCCAAAGCAACAGATCACATTCAGTAAAGAGAATTAGAAAGGAGTATGCATTTTATACGTACACTGTTGTACACATTTATGACCAGTTACACGCAGGTATTAGGTGCCTAACAGTCTTTAATTCCAACAGAGACAAGGTACCTAAACAGAATTGAGGTTCCTAAGAAGCTTTGTTGATCTTGACTTAAAAAATAGATGAATAAATTGAAATCTTAATGTTATTTTATAAAGATTGTCACACTGATCTCTGCAAATGCATTATGTATCCTTTAAATTATTTATTGTTTCCAAAGCAAGAAAAGCTTCTGCAGATTTTAATATGTGCATATGTTGTTTCTATTTGCATTTAGGAAACTATGGTGAAAGTGGAATGGAAGCTTTCAAAGACATGTCAGCCAAGGAAGGGATCTGCATTGCACACTCCTATAAGATCTACAGCAACGCTGGTGAACAGAGCTTTGACAAGCTGCTGCGAAAGCTACGGAGCCATCTGCCCAAGGCGAGAGTGGTCGCCTGCTTCTGCGAAGGCATGACTGTGAGAGGGCTGCTAATGGCTATGCGGCGCCTGGGACTCGCTGGAGAATTTTTGCTGCTAGGCAGGTGAGTAATACTATGTAACTATAGCTGGCTTTTTTTCTGAGTAGTGCAAAATAAAAGATAGTCCAGTCAAGCGTGCATACAACACACATACTCATGGTATCTCCTAGACACGCACATATTTAAAAGAGAGAGTAATGTCAGCCATGTCTCAGCAGTACATATACAACAGACAAGCGTCATTCTCAAATGTACTCCAGGCAAACAAAACTTTGTTTAGCCCACCTAAATAATAGCATTGCATACAGGAAGACCAACACGCAAGCATTTGATTTATATCATCCATTTTATTCGCCTCACTTTAAACCACATCATGTAAATATACAGCCTGAAGCTATACCTCGTTTATGCTACATTGTTTTAGAGAACTGCTGATCTGGCCTCTGGGTCAGGTGTCTTCAAATAGGTCTCCTCAAAGGGCAGAGAACTATTAACCATCACCTTTTCTCCTGGAGCAGGTGTGCTGATCTGTGCCTGTTGGCCTAAAGACGATGTATAGGTGATCCTTTCTCCTCCGTAAGCTTGATAATAGTGACTCCAGTGGTTCCTTCTGTAACTACCAAGGGGAGACAGGAAAACTCACTCAGCTGCATTCATGCCCCAGGAAAACACCCTCGGCTAGATTTGCAGAGAAATAAAAGATACTGATGTAGAGTTATAGGGATGTTTATACTTGCTACATATCAACAAATGGACCCTAAGATGAGGTAAGAAAAACAGAGTGTCTCAACCACTATGAGTCAGCTAACGTGCTGTCCTGCCTTGCCAGCGTGTTGATATTAGAAGCATGACCGGATTCTGTCCCAAGCATTAAGAGTGCAGGAACAGGGATAAAAAGGTGTCAGCGAAACTAGCTGCCCTGGTAAGACCCTCACGGTAACATGTAAGGAGTGCAGCTCTGCCCAGATGGCTTGGAAGCTGTGACGTTTGAACTCTTTTCATCGGTAACTCATCAGCCTCTGTTCACAAACCATCCCGCGGTACACAGCTGCCCTTCTACCTCGGTCAAAGGAGGGAGCAGGAAGCTGACAGCAGGAAACCCTGCCTCCCTCACTATTCTTTGGCAACAGCCTGCTTTTTTGGTAGTCTGATGTGTAAATTGTTTACTTATTACTCCATCTTATGATCACCATGGCTGCCCTTCCTTTCAAACGCATTTTCTCTGTAGACTTTTCTATGGATCATCTTGATCTTTTTCTGGCCTGACTTCTGAAGGGACTACAGCCCTTAGAGTGAGATTCACCTAAACATATTAAGATATCTACTTGTTAGACCTTTCCATGTGAGCTAGTCATCAGGATTGCCATTATGGTCAATGGAGAAAAAAAAAGACCTTCTTAGGTATTATTTGTAATGAGATTATTTAAAGCAGCTCAGAGGAATCACATTCTAGAAGAGGGCTTGCATACAGACTTTATAGATGACCAGCTTAGTTGGAAAAAAAGCCTACTAGCTAGCAATCAAGAGCAAGGTGGAACAAATGCCACCTCTACTGCCTTCATCTGGAACTGTTGCCAGTGGAAAGATCTGTGCTGTCTTCTTCCCACCTAAACACAAGAAGCTGTCGCTTCACTGCAGCACCTCGCAAATTGAGAAGCACAAAAGTATCATTTTCAAAAGCCCTCAGCCCCTGCAGATTCCAAACCACATTTAATTTTGTATGGGATTTTCTTATGCACAAGAGCGCTAGAATTAGCCCTCAGACATCCTTTTATAATTAAGGGCTTCAGGAACTGATGACTGTGAATAAGGCTGGAGCAGCACAGCTTAGAGCTCTTCAAAAAAGCAGGGCCTAGAGAGAACTATCTTTTTTTTTGGTGAAAAAATCTCTGTTTCTAGCTCATCTCTGTTTCTCCCACTTCTAGTGGAAAATGTCATGCCTAATTATAAAGAGAGTTGTTATTCAGTGTGTGACTTTCAATCAGTATATTGAAAGTGATAGTTTCTTTCAGAAGTCAAAACTCCATAAACCCTTTGGAATTAAAACAAACAAATTAAAAAAACTTTTCAATTCTACCAGGCCAATTTATGTGGGTCCTTGTCTGAGGCAATACTATACAGCTTATTTGGAAAAAAACATGGCAAGGAATAAAAGTATTCAGAAAGAAGAGAAAAGGGAGGTGAAGAGAGACCTTTTCCATCCTTTCTATGAACAGACACTGAAATTCCAAGGTAATGACTGAAAAGTAGCCGCTCAGACATAGGTTGACCTGTCCCCAAACAGTAGCTGCCGGGGAGCAGATGTAAACCAATTACATCAGCAACAGGGCACCACAACCTTTCCACAGCCGTTATCAGACAGCTGGAGTACAGTATTCCCTCTATATGTGGCTCTGCACTTGGGATCTAGGAGCATCCCATCTTCTTTCAGTGTGAACTGTTTAGATCTGATATTAAAAGCAGCCATTAAGCAGACATAAAGCATCCAGTTTTACTTGCTAGGGACTTTTGGTTTGCTTTTAGCCACCCTTAGTCAGAAGTGAGGACTTGTTTCAGATCAGCAAGACTCATGTACAGAGTAGAGGAGGTTTTGAAATGGTTATTTCTGTTCCACAGAAATGTTCATTCTCTCGAAAGTGTTCCCTTTTTGCTATGGGAGAATCTTTGGGTTTCTCCAGAGGAGGAAAAACAAAAACAAAAACAAAACAGACAACTTGTAGAAAGCCTTCTTAACATGGATAGGAGGTGGGATGTATGACAGTAATGCCTTTGTTGCCTGATGACCTGAGATCCCGCAGGGATTTAAAGCTGCATTTCCCAGAATCCAGACGTGCTGAGGGGTTCTCTCAGTTTCAGCTCTTTGGCTCTATTTGCTACAAATATGTAACTGTTGGTCTGGAGCTAGGCTGATTCTGTGGAGCAAAGCCTAAGGCACTCACCTGGGATGGACTTGACACCAGGACTAAGACAGACTTACAACCAGAGTGTATTGAGGACTTTTTCTGCATTTTTATATAGGGAAAAAGGGCTTTTAGGAAGAACTTGAGTTGAACACATGGTTCAAACCACTCAGAGGGGAAGAAGCTACATCTAAATAGCTAAATAAAAGATGGATCATGTAGATAATTTGTCTTGCAAAGCTATATGGGAAAAGGGAGTAAGATAAGACATATTCATGCTCTGATCCTGGAGCTGCACCTAGCTGCCCATTAAACTAAGGTTATAATAGGACACTACGACTAGAAAGGAGACTGCCTATGGCTGAAGTGGAATTTGTCCACGCATAAAACTGCATCTACTAATGGATACTCATTTGTTCCCCCACAAATGCATTTTACTTACCTCTTCTTCTGTAAAATAGAGAATTTTTTTTTTTAATGCACAACAAGAACTAAATTCCAAAAACCACACAGTAGCTCCATGCCATACCACAAGTATTCAGGTTTTCCACTTTCTCTAATCTTTTTCCTTCCATATCTCATTTTGCTTTTCCCCCTAAATATGTCCAACTGAAGCCTTGCACAAATAATGATAGGTTTGGACGGTATGAATTTCATGTCACCTGTTTTATGTTCAGATAAGCAGAAAATGGAGTGGCAACAAGCATACATATCAAATAAATCTAGACACTTGTAGAACCACAAGGGGAATAGAGGGAGGAGAAAAGACATCCTTCGATAAACACTTTGCTCTTGATGTGCTGTGCAGTTCCTGAAATTGCATTGCCTGTGACAGAGATGAAAGATGGTGAGCCATTAGTGATTGTAGTGTTCCAGCGCGTTTTGATTCATGGAAAACATTTTAAATGCTCAGCAAATATTTACCTCATGCACCTTGAGGAATTGGACTTAACCTCAAATAAAAAGGTGAGTGCATTGACTTTTAAGTGTGAAGAAAAGTGCTTTTTTAACCTAACCATTATTTAACTTAACTGAGGTGTGGACAGCAGGCTGCATCCATCAGTGCTTATTACTTCTGGCATCTACAGGTCATGTGCTAGGAGACATCCTTGCGGATAAAGTCGATTAGAGAATAAATAATACACTCATATAGCAGCATAACTGACTTTGGAACATATTTCAGAAAGAAATATAGAGCATTAATTGTATAGATAAAACAATTTCATTTTAGCTGATTTTCAGCTATTTTTCATTGTACTAAATAGTTGGCCCAGACGGCTATTAGCCACAGCTGATCTTATGCACATTGACTACATCTGTGCTAAATAAAATGGGGTCAGAGAATAGACTGCAGTACTAGATTTTTTGATGTGCCCTCTGGCATTGTTTTAGCCTGTAGCAACTAACACTTCTGACAGGACCCAGACATGGTGTTGGTGACAGCACTCTCAGTGATTGTTCCCAAGAGGCAGTTTGGACACAGATACTCTGTTTTGGGGTCAAAGAGTGTTAAAAGATATGGATGCAGGCGTTACCATGCCTTTTACCTGCAGACACCTGAGAACTGTCCCTGCTTTGTTTGTAGTAGGGCTTCTGCTAACTTAAGGAGAGGATAGGAAGAGGGAAGTAAGGAGGGAAAGAAGAGGTATATAAAAGTATGTAAAGTATATAAAGAGTTATTTTGTGCATGACTGTTAGATACTTATTCAGTCAAGGGCTTCTATAAATGTTATTATATTGGGTCTTGGTTAGAACATTTGCAGCAAAAGGATGAGAAATCCAGAATTACAGGTCATCTCCCAGAATTTCCATGCTTCCCTGAAGTGCAATGAGGACCTGGTTACCTCTTCCGTAAACGTCCTTGAAAAGACTGGGACCACATTTTCAGAATTCACTAGATTCTATGGTATGTAAGAGTCCTGCTAGGCAGTGTGCGAGGATAGGGGAACCCTCCTGAGCATGCTATGATTGGCAGAGCGCGTCAAACTGAAGGTGCCTAAGGGGAGAAACACCTGTTCTAGCAGTGTGATGATCACAGGCAATTCAAGTGTGCTCCTGCAAGAGCACAGAAGGCAGCTCAGGAAAGGCTTGATGTTGAGCAGCATAGCAATAGCAAGAATGAATCAGGTATTAGGAAACTGTACTAGGAATCAGTGCCCATAC